GATAATGTGCATCTCTAATGCAACCACTTCTTAAAGTGAGGAAATAAGAAAAGTGTATGAACAAAGCTTTAACAGTTCTCAGTGATTACGGTGGTGGCAGTGTTGATGTAATTAATTAATTCAAGGCTGTACGATATAAAGGAGTATAAATGAGTAATTGTCTGATAGCCTTACTCTGTCCTGTCTTTGAGAACACGGGTGTAACTCAAAAGAGTTTCAATTTTAAAAAGGAAGTAACAGCAAGCAATGCTGTAATCCTGATAAAAACACATGAAAATGTAGATTTCATAATAAATGCATAGACCTTTGCTTAAGGCACTGAAAAGACTAGAAACAAAGAGTAGCCTCGTAATAAGCATACCTACTAGCCTAAATTGTGGCACTGAAATACCATTCCCAGCCTGGCACAGTGGCACTGGCCTGAAATTCCAACACTCAGGCAGCAGGTAAAGACAATGCAATGTCAAAAGGCCAGCCTGGTCTACACAGTAGGGTCCTGTCAAAAACAAAAACAACAACAAAAAAAACCCATTCTCATCAAAGGAAAGCAGAACATCTTAGAGAAATAGCTGTTTCGAGTTCTGAAGGGAAAAAGTCAAGATCAGGTTAGATAACGTGTTGAGAAAGATTGTTTCCACTAGCCAGTTCGACTTCAGAAAGGGTAGTGGGGATCAGGAATGGAGCTCAGTCACAGAGCTCCTGCTTAGTATGTGCAGTGTTTGCTCCCACCCCCAGGACCACAAGATGAAAAAGAAAACGGAGGCTGCACGTGGAGCTCAGTAGAGCTCCTACTCAATGTTTATAAAGCTTTGGGTTCATTCCCCAGCACCCCATACAAAAACGCCAATTGTCTGTAACATAAGTACATTTACCAACCAAACCTATCCTATCAAAAAATTATTAATTGACATAGAAAGCAATGTACAAACTTATGGGTATCATGCAGTGTTTCAGTATACATGTATATTGTATAATGTTTTCAAAACAGGATAAACATAGCTGTCTCCACAAACATCATTTCATTTCATTAAAATATAAAAATAGAAATACCATATGATCTAGCAGTCCCACTACTGGGCAGATATCCGAAAGAAAGCCTTCAAAATCCTAGCTTTTCCCTTCTCTTTCTGTGGCTGTAGGGATGGAACCTTGGGCTTCCTTCACATATGCTAAGCAAGCACTCAGCACTGAGCTTACCGTCCAGGCCTCCCATAGCTTTTATTAGTATGTTATCATTATTTAAGATGGTAATTCTCTGCAGTAGAATACCAAAACCGTTCCTCCAGTGCAACTGTAACTTAGTACCCATTGACCATGCTTTTATCCATCCCTCCCTCTCCTGTCCTCTTTCCAGCCTCTGGTAACCACTCTTCTCTCAATTTCTGTGCTGTCGACCTTTTAGATTCTATGTATGAGTAAGATCATGCAGTCCTTTCCTTTCTATGGCTGGCTTATTTCATTTAATGCTCTCCAGTTCCAGCCATGTCACTTCAAATGATAAGATGCTCATCCTCTTTAAGTCTCTGTATTTGTAACACATTTTCTTTATCCATTCTTCAGATGATGGGCACATGGGTTGATTGCATTTTTTTACACTGCGAGTGAACATGAGTGCAAATATCTCCTGGACAGACTGATGTCATTTCTTTTGGATATTTGCCCGGTAGCAGGATTGCTAGAGCATATGGTAGCTCTGCTTTTAATTTTTAGGTAGCTTTCCTAATGTTTTCCACAGTGACTATACTATCTTATAACCCATCAGTAATGAACAAGGGTTCTTTTTGCCCACATCCTTTCCTGAACTTATTTTTTCCCTTTTTGATAATAAGCATTCTAAGTTTCTGAAGTGAAGCTGGGTCTCATTGTGTTTTTGGTTTATATTTCTCTAGTAACTAATAATGTTGACCATTTGTTCATATATTTATTGGTTATTTGTATGTCTTTTGAGAAATGTCTACTTAAGTCTAGTGCCCATTTTTAAATTAGATTATTTCGAGGGTTTGGTTTGGTTTGGGGTTTTTTTGCTATCGAGTTTTCAGAGTTCCTTATATATTCTGGATATATACCCCTTATCAGAGTTCCTTGTATATTCTGGATATATACCCTTATTAGAGTTCCTTGTGTATTCTGGATATATACCCTTATTAGAGTTCCTTGTATATTCTGGATATATACCCTTATTAGAGTTCCTTGTGTATTCTGGATATATACCCTTATTAGAGTTCCTTGTATATTCTGGATATATACCCTTATTAGAGTTCCTTGTGTATTCTGGATATATACCCTTATTAGAGTTCCTTGTGTATTCTGGATATATACCCTTATTAGAGTTCCTTGTATATTCTGGATATATACCCTTATTAGAGTTCCTTGTATATTCTGGATATATACCCCTTATTAGATGGAGACTGTTCTCTAAACTTGTAGGTGGTCTCTTTACTGTTGATCTTTTTTTTTTCTTGCTGTGCAGAACCTTTTTGTTATGGTTTGAGATAATCCCATTTGTCTGTTTTTGGTTTTGTTTCCAGTGCTTTGGGGGTTTTACCTAAAAAGTCCTTGCAGGCCAGCAAGATAAAGGCTGATAAAGGCATTTGTCACCCAAGATTGATGACCTGAGTTCTAACACCAGAACCTACATGGTGGAGGAGAGAACACCCCCCACAAGTTGTCATTTTGTGGCAGCCCCCCCCCCCCACAGAAGCACACTAAATAAATAGAAAAACAAAGAAATCGATTTTAAAACCCCTACTTCTTCCAATGTCTGAAGTGATTTCTCCTGTTTTCTTCTAGTAATTTTATATTTTCAGTCTGATATTTAACTATTTTCAGTAGATCTTTATAACTGAAAGATAGAGGTCTAGTTTCATTCTTCTGCATGTAGACAGTCAATTTTCCCATATAATTTACTGCAAAGACTGTTCCCTGGGTGTGTTCCTAGCACCTTTGTTAAAGATCTATGGCCATAGCTTCTTGAATTTACTTTCTAAGGTCTCTTATTTCATTCCTTCGGTCTGTGTATCTGTGTTTAGGTCATTACCATGCTAGTTTGGTTATTATGGTGTGTGTGTGTGTGTGTGTGTGTGTGTGTGTGTGTGTGTGTGTGTGTGTGTGTGTGTGTGTGTTTGTGTGTGTGTGCGCCTGCCTCTCTGTCTGTGTCTTTGTATGTATTATATGTGTTTGTGAGGGTGGATGTGCATCTAAGTGGAGGTTGCCCGAGGTTGACATCAGGCATCAAGTGTCTTCTTCAGTTGTCATCTCTTACTGAACCTTCAGCTCGTCAGTTTGACTGAGCTAGCTTGCGAGTAGGCACCAGAGATCTGCCAGTCTCCGCCTCCCCAGTGCTGGGACCACAGTCACGGACTGTTGTGTCAGTGCTGGGGATCTGAACTCAGGGCCTCATGCTTGTGCAGCTAGCTCCCCAGCCCCAAAGGAGACATACTTTTCTCAGAAAATGGTGTGGGTGTTGTGTTATTGACATGTGAACCGAGAGAAATGTGAAGACATTTCTTTAAGCACAATTAGAGGAAAACTGAAGACCTCCAGCAATCAAATTCCAACTCTTGTTAAACATCTTTCAAAGAATGTGAAATTACACAAAGCACACAAATCAACTATCAGAGTAGATGCGACTGTCCATGGCACCATGTCATTCATTTGATTCTTAAGCATGGCTGACAGTGTGAGAATTCTGTAACATTAACAAATTCAAGGAAAAGGAAAAACGTGGAAAGATCATGGGACTATAGTAAAGGAAGCTGGGGCTGGCAAGATGACTCAACAGTTAAGAGCTCTCACTGCTCATCTGCAAGAGCAGGTTCAGTCCCTAGTACCCGTGTGCTGCCTCACAACAGCTTATATTTCCAGTTCCAGGGGATCTGCCATCCTCTTCTGCCCTCCGAGGGTTCCTGGGGCTCATAAACTCTTACAGAGATACATATACCTAATTTCTTTAATCTTAAAAAAAATGAATAAAGCAAATTGGTAGAGCAATAATTACCTGTAATGCTGCATCCCTGGACATTCACAAATCATACAGATTTTTTAACTTCTATGATTTCGGGTTTCTAGGGTTTTTATTTTTGCTGATGGGTGGGATTTGGGGAGGGGTTGGTTTTATTCGTTTGTTTTTGTTTTGATGAAGGGATTGTCGGTCATTTAGCAAGAATTCTTTCCCAAAATAGAATCCATTTGTGGAGGACACCTCTATGATCTTGGCTTCTGTGAAAACGTCTGGAGGCATCTTTACTCGCTACCGTGGCATCGTGTCTAACATTCAGTAATAGACATGTCCTTCCCATTTGCGCCATGCCTGGGCGGCTAGCTGTGCTCTCTTGCCGTTGTCTGCTTGTGTTCAGAGCGGAGCGGAGCGGAGCTCCCCAGTGTTGTTTATCTGCATGTCTTCAGCTTCTCTCTCCTCTTTCTCACTCTCCTGGGTTAGCTGATTTCACTCGAGCAGCTCCACAGCAGCAGGATCAGGAAGAAAAGGATGACGAGAACGAAGAGAAAGCTGTGCACAGACTGCGAGAGTGGGACGACTGGAAGGACACCCATCCCAGAGGCTATGGCAACCGGCAGAACATGGGCTAATCCTCCTGAAGGGCAGAAGGACCACGTGGTGCGCACCAAGGACAACCTCAGCAGGGTGCAGTGAAGGCAGCCGTGCAGAGTCTTGCTTTGCATTCAGTTGTGTCAAATAATTGCTTGTACCCTAGGTAATGACCAGAGATTTTGTTTGGCTTTATTAATTCTCATCATAGTGATTTTAACTGGTCAGGAAAGAGCACTAAGAAATGGCTCTCTATAACCTATGATAGTATGAATTCATTCTCTTAAAAAAAGTAATAAACCCCCCTCTAATATGTGGGCCTATGCACAAATGTGGGTATCAGCTGATTTTGTTGTTTGTGGTGGAGCAGCAGGGTTCGACTATGGGTCTCGGGGTGTCTGGAAAGCCTTGTCATATGCCTTTATTCTGAGCAAGAATTGCCCTGGGTCTGAACTGCCCATACTTTCCCCCTTCCCACTAGTTGTGGTGTGACCCTGTGAGCACCACCCATACTCTGGAATAACGCTAGACAAGCAGAAATGGCAGAAGAGCACCTCCGCTCCAAGGCACTGCTTTCAGAAATTAGAGCTGTGGGGAAGGGACCCTTAAAGAATTAGTCTCATGAGTATGTTGGTTCGTACCACTCAGCTCACCACTTGGGAAGTAGAAGGAGGAGGCTCAGAAGGTCAAGGCCATCCTTAACTACACGAGTGAGGCCAGCCTCAGCTGCATGAAATTCTGTCTCTAAATAAATAGAAGGCCTCTGTTATAAAATTCCTGCCTACCTAGTCCTAGCCCTGACTGTGAGAAATGGGAGTTCCAGAGAGACTGCTCTGCAGAATCATCCTTTACCGTCACGGGAACATTAGCCATTAAGGTGAACACCACCTCCAAGCCCACTGGACCTCCTTGTCTCTGTGGCTCCAAACCTGGTGTAGTAGGAATGTATGGCTCTGTTAGCTGGCTGTTTAGTACACGCCTGCTGATTAGATAAGTAGAAGTGGAGAAGAGGGATGATGCCCATGATGCTGCAAGTGGGAACTCTCTGGGATGGAGGGGTTGGTACCCTCTAAGAGCAGCCTATGATCTGCTCCGAGAACATCCTTTTGTTCTGTGGCTCCAGTCCACTTTGGTTTCCTTTGAAGAGGAAGATGACTCAGCCCTCCTATTCTAGCTCCTGCAGTCTGAGGAGAAGGCTTTGCAGAGACTCAATTCCCTCTTGTTTATAGGGTGGGAAGTGGAGGGCTGTCAGGTGCTGAGGAGGAGGTTGTTTCGTGGGTGGTGACAGCAAGAAGGCTACCAATAATATATTTGTATACTTCCTAATAAAGGATCCATCTCCCCCTCACACAGAGGCTCCTGAAACTGGTAGCGCATGGATGACATTTCCTCCAGAGCTAGAAGCAGTGTTCCCAGCCCTCCTCCAGTTGTTCCCAGGCTACCTCTAGCCACAGGTTTGTCTTCTGCCCGTAGAACCCCACCCTGAAGTTTATTTACTTATAAACTAGCCAGGTTGACTTACACCTTGGTCTGAGTCTTAGAAGATTGTACTTTTTGTAACCTCCACCTTCATTGAGCCTCCACACACACAGACACCCAAAGAGGCAGACCACACAAGGTAGGTTCGAATCCTGGCTTGGACAGGTGGAACCTGTGTGAGTTCATGCAGTAAAACCCCAAAAGTGTCTGTCTTCTGTTGATGTAGAGGATGTCTCCTAGGTCTGGGATGATTACGTAAATCATGACCACCACTGTAATAAAGTCAGGCAACTGAAGAATAAGGTTTTCACATTGGTATCAGGGCCGTGACTGGGCTGTCCAGGAAGAAGGGAAAGGAAATGGGCAGGTAACAGGCCTTTACTGTGAGGCACTTTCCCACTCTCAGTACAAAGGCCTTGCAAAGGCAGGCCTACTGTCCCCATGCTACAGAGCAGGATGGGCCAAGCAGAGTGGCTTCATCAAGCCCGCCTTGCGCTTCTGGGTTCCTTATGCTTTTAGTCATGTGTCTTCGGGCAGCTTCCTGGTGGGAGCATCCTTAAAACTAAAACTGCCATTTGAACACCACTGGACCTCTACAGGCTCCTTCTCTGTTGACTCAGCAAAGGAAAGGTTGTGCCAGTTTCCCGCCTCTACTCCCTCAGCCAAAGCCAGAGGGAGGTGATGAGCAACCCATCTCCCTCCATTCTCCTCAGCACTATGTGTCTGATGCCTCACTGCTCAGAAACCAAAAAAGCACCACCTTCTCTACGCCCACCAGAGCCAGGCCTTCCAGGGTCCCGGAGGCAGCTAGTTTGGGTGAGTTCCAGGAACCAGGCTTCTCGATGCTTTTGACAGGTAACAATACTGCTTCTCAGTTCTGCCTCTCGTGCGCATATATATGGATGCCTGCATTTCTGTGCTTATACCTATGCTGTTTTTGTTTGTGTTTCCACTCTCACACCCTGTCGGGCAAGCTATATCCTCATGGTCTAGTGAAGGAAGCTGTCTCAGAGAGATGAGTCAGTGACTTCGCACCGCCACACAGCTAAGCAAAGCCGTGTAGACGCTGAAGTTGAGGGAAAGCCTTTGTCTTCTGGGGCTCTCACATAGAGGGCAGTTTGATCTGCAAATGGTGGCCCAGGGCACTGTGCACACCTCTGATCCCAACACAGAGGAGACTGAGACTGAGACAGGAGAGCTTCAAGTTCAAAGCAAGTCTGAGATCCTGTGGAAAAAAGAAAGTCCAGTATGGTGGTACACAAGGATAATGGCAACACTTGGAAGTGGAGGCAGGAGGATCAGGAATTCAAGGCCAGCCTTAGCTACATAGCCAGTTGAAGGCAGCCTAGGTTACATAACAGTAAAAAGAAAGAAAAACAGGTACTGAGAGAGGAAGATAAGGCAAGGAAGAGGAGGAGCAAGGCGGGGGGCGGGGGTGGTTCACATTCATCTTTTATCTTTCCAGTTTTGTTTATTCTTGAGTGGCCTTAAATTCTTGCCTCACCTGAGCACTGGGATTCCAGATGTGTACCATCATTACCAATATAAAGTAATGTTTCTTCTCGAGCTGGAGCGGGGTGGTGGTGGTGGTGGTGGTGGTGGCGGCGGCGGCGGCGGCGGCGGCGGCGGCGGCGGCGGCGGCGGCGGGGGGGGGGGGGGGGGGGGGGGTGGTGCACACCTTTAATCCCAGCACTCAGGAGGCAGAGCTAGGAGGATCTCTGTGAGTTCGAGGCCAGCCTGGTCTACAGAGTGAGATCCAGGACAGGAACCAAAACTACACAGAGAAACCCTGTCTCAAAAAGCCAAAAAATAGTAATGTTTCTTCTCAAGACATTCCATACTGAAATGTCCTTTCCAGTTTTGCACCTCTCAAGACCCTCTTGAGGAAGAGAGCAGGGGCTAAAGGAATGCTATAAAACTGAAAATAATTAGTGTTCTGGGTTAGTTTCAATTCTTGGGAATCTGTCATCTGAAGCAAAAGGTTCACTTTTGTCACTTAAAGCAACGTGAAAAGGAGGGACTTTTGAAACTGAAATGAGTTTGTTGGCATCTGAACTCCAAAAGAGTTTCCTCCACTTCCTCTTGGCCTCAGGTTGGCTCATAGGCACAGTTGGCATGTTACCACTCACCCTATGTCAATAGGACATTGTTACCATGGTCTCCCTGCAAAACACCTGCACGTTTCCCCAGGTTCCTTTCTACACACTGCACGGACAAGCACACCTCAAGCAAGGCAGTTCATTCCGGGTCCATACCAGGGATGCTTGAGCTCTAACCCCAGCTCGTCACTGTCCTAGCCTCTCAGAGACACAACCCTACTCAGCGCACAGGCTGGAAACAAACACAGGAAAGCAAAGGATCCTTTGTTTTCAGTCCAGTGCTTTGACAGTACCATTTGCGTAAAAGAAACTTTCTATTTGAAAGAATGTCTGTACAAAATAGTGTTATGAGAGGACACAATAAAGCTTCATTCCCCTATCAGACAGCTTCAAGGGTTACCCCCAACTCATTATTGACCTTCCTCCATACCTCCATCCTCCTGAACCCATAGAGTAAGAGATGGAGAACACCAGGCGCAACACTGAAATTTGATGATACAAGGAATTGTTCATTTTATGCTATGATACTTTTTTAAAGTCTGGGTTTTATTCTGTTGCACAGGCTCGTCTCAAATCCCCAGGCTCATGTGATCCTTCAGAGGGCTGGAGCTATGGGCATGTGCCACCAGGCCCAGATTGTGCAGGTTGTAAAGGGGAGTTTGGATCTTTCAGAGATACCCTCTGAAATATGGGTAGACAGAATGGGATGATGCCCAGAGTCACAACGTCAGTGTTTTCTCAAGCTGTCTTCTGCAGATCAACAGCAGCCAAAAGGTTTGTGGCATGATTTTCTTAGTGTGCCAAAATAACTACTGAAGGAGAAGACTCTAGGTGGTAGAATCTGAGAGCTGGGTTTCACACATCCAGCCCCAAGGCTGCCTTTGACAAATCTATGGGGGAAAGTAATGAACCAAGTCTTAGCTTTCAGATTCTTTGTCCCTCAATGACAGTAAAACTGAGCAATGTCTTAGGCCACCCTACTCTAATGTGGTAATAGCAATAATGCTAATAGCTACTGTATAGTAGACACCTAGTATATACTAACAGCTTTGTACAGGGCATTTCTAATCCCTAAAACTGCCCAAGTTGCGTATTACCAAAGCCTGAGTATATAGATGAAAACAATGAGGCTCAGATAATGAATGTCCAAAGATCACTTAGCTCTAAGAAGCCTGGATTCCAATTCAGCTGACTCCAGAACAGCTTCCAGTGGGCTGCACTGTCTCCAGGAAGCACCCAGCACATAAGGCATGTATGTGAAGGCAGAGAATAATGTCCCGGTAGCAAACTGCTCTCTGTTCATGTTTTAAGCAACAATTCTCTAAGTTTTGTTTGTTGAACCTCTCAAGGACACATCTGAGATCTGCTCACTGGGAAATTCTTACACACACACACACACATGCACGCACACACATGCACGCACGCACGCACGCACGCACGCACATGCACACACATCATCCTTTCTACCACCTCATTCCTCAACCTACAGGGAAAAATATTCCTGTTCCTTGCCTGTTCGGCCAAACCCTCTCTATGTCCAGCCCTGGAAGATCTTTGCTTAAGGCAGAGCTTGTAGACTTTCTGTGACAGCCTCACTCTGGGACGCCTGCATATTTTGTAAGCCATTCAAAGCCTCCTTCATCTCCCAGGCCTTCCAGAACAACAAATAGCACACTGGCCATGATTGCATGCATCTGCTGCCCTAGGCCCTGGCTTCTGGCCCTCACTCCCGGCTCTGGCCCCAAAGAATTGAGAAATATTTTTTGAGACTTCTTTGCCAGCTCTAATTAATGTCCCCTCTCTCTTCCTTGTCTGTCTCTCCCTCTTTCACCCTACCTTCTGTGTCCCAGATCATTTCTGCCTCATGACTGTTGCCTGCCCTGACTTTTTCACCTAAATTCCAGGCCTGTCTCCTGTCATGTGCGAGACCGCTCCTCTTGATGTACAAACAGAACTAGAACTTGACAGACTGGAAGTGAACTCAGCCATTCCCAATCCTCTCTCCATCAGGGCTTCTTGTGTCCCCCATAACCGACTTGTGCTCATCCTAAAAAGCTCACCATTGTTTCTGGCTTCTCCCTACTGAGAAAGCGAGTATTCAAACATTTGCTGAATGGATCAGGGGATGAATGAGTCCTATCATGAATCACACTGCTTCATCAGGAAGATTCACAATAATCCAGCCTCGTTCTTTTCATATTCAAACAACTTTGCATAAAAGACAACTCAGAATCTCTTCACCTTAAAGCTGCAGTCATCTCCATAGCTGGCAGACTAATGGAGCATTTCAGCTTGTTCTGAGGAGACTGCTTTTCCACTAAATGGAGCTCACTCTACCTTCTCTTTGAAAGCTTAGTAAATAATACAGCAGTGCACGTTGAAGTAATTTTCTTGCCTTACTGACCACAGGATAGTCTATCATGTTAGTATGCCATTGCTTATGTAGCCATCCTCAGATTTGGAACATTTGGACTGCTTACAGGATTTTAGCGCATTTTATTTTATTTGAATCAGTTAACCAAGCAAGTGGCCCAGTTTGCTAATACACAGACAAAGTGGCAGTAAAGCAGGGAGGGTGGTAGGGATGCTACAGGGCAGGAGTGAAAGGAAGCTTCCCATTGAATGCCCTCCTGAATTCTGAGCCCTGTGAGCACACAAGCTGAAGGCTTATTGTCTACCAAGTGTGGCACTAGAACATGCCTGTCAAGATGGGGTCTAGGCACACAGCCTAAGTTTTTGGTATGTGCCCTCCCAAAAGTACATATAATGTGCCACGGGAACTCAGAGAGCTCAGTGGCTCGGGGAATAACATTTGCACTTCACCTTCAAATATGGATAAGACAGCCTGATCTGAGACAAAAAGGGCAGATTGAGGAACAAGGCTATATGTGGTTTAGAAAATGAACGCTTGAAAAATATAAAAGATGGGGTCTCCCTATGTAGTCCAGGATGGCCTAGACCTTGCAGTGATCCTCCAGCCTCGGCCTTCTGAATGCTGAGATTACAAGTATGTATCACCAAATCTGGCTGTAAATGAGACTTTTAAGGAGGAAAGAAATGAGTATAAAAAGGGGTCCAGACCCAGGCTCTCTTCTCTGGCTTGGAGTTGATCTCCAAGGCAACAGCATCCTTGAAAGATTGAAATAGGCCAGAGATCCAGTAAAAGCGTTTTTGTTGTTATTTGTTTTGTTTTTATTCTCTTAATTTCTTTTGTGATAGGATCTCATTAGATAGGCCAGGCTGGCCTGGGTTTCACTGTGTAACCCAGGCTAGCCTGGAACTCATCCTATAGCCCAGGGTGGCCTCAAACTCCCAATTCTCCTGCCCCAGCTTTCTGGGTGCTGTGATTACAGATGTGTTCCACTGTGCCTGGCTGTGAGGAGCTGCTGCCTCTGCAGCTGCTGCTGCTGCCTGCTTGCTCTGGTCCTCATTGTGTACAAACAGTCTGACAGCAGTGCGGAGGCCAGTGGACAGCGAGCTGCTCCAGTACAGGAACCATCGAGAAGAGCAGGAGCTGGAAAGACTCATTGTTCTCTTTGCCCCAGGTCATAGCCGCTTCGTCCACAAAGCTCTTGAGCCTGGACAACTACTCAGTCTCAGGCAACAGGAATGTTTGCTCACTCTCACCTAGGCACTGGAAGCCACTGTGCTGGCCTGCTCTAATAAGTGACCCAGTGACTCACGATTCCAGGGATCCTGAGAGCCCCATCTGGGCTGCCCTTTACCCTCTCTGAGCCCTTGCCCAACCACAACTCCTAAGCCCCCTTCACTATACTGTAGACCCAGGGGCCTCAGACACAAAGGGACTCGTGAGCAGCTCCACTAAATCACCTCCCAGGCGTCTCTTTTCTCCTGCTCCCTAAGCCTGAAGCTTTTCTCAAAGGCAACTGTTCCCTGCATAGCAGCAAAGCTCTGCATTTTTGTGTGTGGGATCTCCACACTCTAAGAGGTCAGGCTCTTCACATGGAATATTAGATCCTACTGCACATGCCGCTCCCCACTGCCAAATTCCAGTGCCATGGAACACTGTGGGTGCCAGACACCATCTAAGGGGCTTTCCAAGCCTCACAACAAATCCTCACAGCAAATGGATTTGAGTAATCTTTTTTGTTTAGTTGCTTTTTTGTGTTGTTGTTGTTGTTGTCTGGCTGTCCTGGAACTCACTCTGTAGACCAGGCTGGCCTCAAACTCACAGAGATCCGCCTGCCTCTGCTTCCGTAATACTGGGTTTAAAAGCATGCACCCCTACCACCCGGCTTTTGTTTTGTTTTTTGAGACAAGGTCTTACCTATCCCAGGATGGCCTCAAACTCACTATGTAGTCAAAGATGACCTTGAGCTCCTAATTCTCCTGCCTTTACCTCCCAAGTTCTGCGATACAGGCATATGCCAACACACCCAGCTATGTGTGCTTAATATCTTCTACCAAATGAGAAAACTAAGACTTGGGGAGTACATACATAATCTCTTTATTCGGCACATTTTAATTTTTTCTGTTTTTATTTTTGAGATTACAATATAATAACATCATTTCTCCCTTTCCTCCCTCCAAACCTTTCCATATACCTCTCTGGCTCTCTTTCAAATCCATTACCTCTTTTTCATTATTTGTTGTTACATGCATAGATGTATATGCATTCCTAAATATAACCTGCTCAGTTCACATAATGTTGCCTGTATGTACGTTTTCAGGGCTGACCATTTGGCACTAGACAACTAATAGGTGTGCTCTTCCCTGGGGAAGAACACCTCTCCCACCCCCAGCTTTCCTCAGTTGCCTGTGGTTCTTTGTGTAGGGTTGAGGCCTCCTGGGCTTTTCCCTGTTCACTTTGGCATGTGTATTGGTGTCGTCCCACGTATGTTTAGATAGTCATGTTGAAGAGACTTTATGGGTGTAGCTTCTGACTTTCCTAGGAGAAACAATCTCACAGCAAACTCCCTGATCCTCTGGTTCTTACAGTCTTTCTTCCCCCTCTTCCACAATGTTCCCTGTGCCTTAGGTGTGGGAGTATTTTGTAGATGTATCCACTAGGAATGAGCTCCACAACTCTGCATTGGTTGTGGTTTTCTGTAGTGGTCTCCGTCTGTTGCAAAGAGAAGTTTCCTTGATGAGAGGTAAAGACTACACTATCTATGGTGTAAGGATACATATTTAGAATGTACTTAGGGATTATGCTGGTTTAGTAAAGTGGTGGTTGTAGATCCTCCTTCTCTAGCACTGAGTAGGTGGCACCAGTATCAGGCATCATTTCCCTCTTGTTGAATTGGTCTTAAGTCCAATTAGGGAGATGCTGGTTACCACCAAGGTATGCATTCCACTGCTGCATCCTTCGAGTTATCCTGTTATGTTTATCAACACATTTTAATTAAGGTCATATGTACCATATGCTTAGTATTTCCCTGGGTTTCAACAGCATGTATTCTGGGTCAAGAGTTGGGTAGTGAATGATAGGAGTCTATGTGTCACCAGTAAATAGATTAGGGCCACCAGGGAAGTCAAAGAAGATGGAAGAGAAAGCTCTTAGCTGTGTGACCTTTGATGAGATACTTTTACCATCTTGGAGACCAGAAACTCTAACCTTCTTCATTGGTTCCAGCAGCATTTACTTGAGTAAAGTTTACCCTGTGCTATATGTTAGGGACACGGAGATGGGAGACAGTCTGGCCCTGCCCTTGTTCTGATGCCATGTGTTACCTTGAGGCTCACCTAAATTTTCTCCATATCCCCATCTAAAAGTGAAGAGGTGCAGAGACCTGATCAGTAAGAGCCGCAGAGCTCTTGGAGTGGTGGGTCTTGTCTGTCATGGGCTCCCCAGGCCCCTTCGTATCTGCTTTCCCCAGGAGAGCCAGGCTTTCCTCCCTTTCCTCTCTCTCCTCCCCTGAAAAATTCTCAATAGACATGGCCCTCTATGTGGCCAGGAAGCCCCAGGAAGCAGCTTGAGCCCAGCTTTCTCGGGAGGAAGAAAAGAAAGAATGGGCTGATGTATCCGGGAGCTTCTAGGTACATTTGACAATGAAAGTGACTCAGCAGAAAGTGTCCTAAGCTCGCCTCTGAGGGGTCACATTAATTAGTCCGATCAGCAGTGAGAGCTTGCATGCTCCCCTCGGCGGGCCAGACAGATCAGTATTCTCTCACACTTGTAGGACATTGGATATCACTCTTGTTTGAGTTTTGCAGCCACGCTTTTAGTTACACTCAGCGGGAATTTTTGGACTGCCTTCTGTATTCAAGGCCTTATGCAGGGGATATTGATCTTTTTCAAATTCAAGTGTATGGACATTTTCAGACACTGCCTGTCTTCTTCCTCACTGAATTCTTAGTACATCACAACAGTGACCTACAAACAATATCAATCCAATAGAGAATGACAGGAAAAAATTAATTCTGAGATAGGGATCTTGGAATGGCCTTTAATTTTGCAAAGACTGGTAAACAGAAGCATGACCCTTAACCAGGAACAAACAGATGGTCAACAGACATAAATTGAAAAGAATGGTAATTGTAGGAAATAATTACCAACTGTGTACCAAGCCTTGTGCTGAGTACCTCATGATCATTCACTCATTTAATTCTCAAGATAACTCTGTGAAGCAGGCATTCTCATTGTCCCCATTTTACAGATGGGTAAACCAAGGCATGGGGAGTCACTAACTTATAAGTGTCAGGGCTCAGATCTGAACTCCTGTTGTCTTGCTCTGAAGTCTATGATTCTACACACTATACTGCCTTCCAACATAAATTTTCAAAAGGGAGTAGTCAGGGGCATGGAGTGTTGTGAAGCTGTGGCTTTAAGCAATGTTTTTTCTGCTTTGCTATCTGGTGTCTGGCTGCTGATCCAGAACCCCAGCCTGGGAACACAGGCACAAAGAGGACTTGGAGAAATGTAGATATGCATGCTGCAAAACAGCTCTATTGGGCTCAGTGGCTCTCAACTGAAGGAGCCAGATTGGCCACTGGAGCAGAAGCAAATGTGGCCCCTAGTTACCTTTTCTGAAGCAAGTACTAGCAGCAGGCTGCTTTGCAGAGCTTCTCGATAAGGTGAACAAAGTCATTCTTTTCTCCTGAACTACTTAGAGGTCATCCAACAGCGAAAGCTCCCCAAGGCTACTGTTGCCTCATCAAAATCAGTGGTCCATGGACAGAAAGGAAACATTCTAATGTGCAACCTTCTGTGTGTAGGAAGTTGGGGCGGAACAAACTGGAGGAAAGGTTCGGGCAAGCCTGACAAAAGCTTGACGGTTAAGCAGCCCTGATGATAAGAGATTAGTGCAGAGCGTCTGACATCAGCTCCATCTCAGTGGCTTAGGGCTTCTGCTTGGGCTTCTGGCCACAGGGAAGCAGCCCTGAAACCATGGTCTTTTTCTCCAGACTAGATCTGCAGGAGGGCCTCCGAACACTCTCCGTTTTACAGTGGATTCCACTCTATGTCATTTTAGGTGAGTAAACACCAAGGGCCAGAGAACAGATTCAGAAAGAGGCCAGGCATCCCCACATGAGGAAGGCTCTGGGGCCAGCACCTGCTTGGGTCCCTCTACCGGCTCTGGGGAATGGACTGGCATGGAATCCCCGAGGCCAGGGGAGAGCCTGTAGCTGTTATGGTCTAAATATTATCCCAGTCTTCCGAGGAGTTGTCCCCTACACATTATCCAAAAAGAATCATACTGAAGAGTGGGCCAGAGTGGTGGTTGCTTGATAGACTGGTGTTACTGGAAAGATCTGAGGTAATTCCCCTAGTATAAGGGTGTTGTAAAAGAATTCTGAAAAGTCCGAAGACTGTGTGAGTGACATTAGATCTTCAGGAAAAGCTAGCTCATGTTTGATGGACTCAATCAATGATCAGCGTTAGACAAATGGGCTCACAGAATCAAGCCAGAAGCCAAGGCATTCTGGGAGATCAACTATAGAGGCAAGCAAATTATATGACCTGTTAGAGCAGAGGGGTTTTGTTGTTTGTTCGTTCGTTTGTTTGTTTGTTTGTTTTCAAGACAAGGTTTCTCTGTGTAGCCCTGGCTGTCCTGGAACACACTCTGTAATCGAGGCTGGCCTCGAACTTACAGAGATCTACCTGCCTCTGCCTCCCGAATAAGAGCAGAGGTTCTTAAGCAGCAGGTTGTAGAGTAAGAATTCAGGGGTAGCTTGGTGGGAAGAAATGTGGCTTTCCTGTCATTCGGCTCCTGTTGGGATGTAGCCATTCCTTCAGTCATGAGTGTAGGCGATAAGCCTCAGACATGATAGCAGCACCCGTGATGATTGTCAGGAGCAGACATGGCAGCGATTTGCATTTCATCCAAGTGATTGTTTGTTAAAGCCATCTCCAAACTTTGCTTATGCTGATGATGACTTCAAAATTCCAGTAGTTATTAGAACTTCCGTTAAGGCTGGTTTCTTCATTCATAGAACAAGAAGCGTATATGCTGCTGGATCACATTGTGAGAGATGTGATAGCTGTGGTTTAATATAGTGCCCTGCCTTTGTAATGTCGGGTATTTTATTGATGCACTTAAGCATATTATTCAAAGAAGGGTTTGTATACTTCATCAGCCTGTCAGAGGGGACCTATAGCCTCTAGAAGATGCAGACTTTCTAAGCTTCATTAAAATCAAATCCTGCCGAGCTCATCATTTGTTTAACTTTAGCTGTGTCAAGAAAAGGACGTTAAACCTGGTGAGTTTCTTCTCAGCAGGTAAGAGGTCTTGCTGATCAAGCTGACTTCAAGCCCCTGAACCCACAGTTGAAGGCAATAACTGACTCCAAGTTGTCTTCTGACCTCCACACACACACACACAACATGGTACATGTGCCCCTACACTCTCGTGCATCACACGTCATACACATACACAAATAATAATGATGATGATAGTAAATAATAATAAGAGATAAATACATTTTCAAGAAAAGGAAGTTAAAACCAGGTAGGACTAGAGCCTCAAACCTGTAATTCCATCACTCAGGGGGCCTGGGCAGAAGGATTACTGTGAGTTCAAGGCTAGCCTAGGCTACACAGTGACTAGTGAGTTCCAAGCCAATATGATCTATAAACTGAGACCCTTTCTCAGGAAGGAAGGGAGGGAGGAGGAGAGAGACAGACAGACAGGACAGAGGAAGGGAAGGAGGTACAGGGAGGGAGAAGGGAAAGAGGAAGAAAGAAATAAAGGTTATTTGGGGGCAGAGCTTTTGTTTTTATTCCTTCATAGTTTCTTTCTGTTTTCCTCTGCATTTTGTTTTAATGTTCTCAGAAAGCCCCCCTTGGATAAATTCTTCCCCTCCAGTAGAAAAATATGGGACAGAGGAAGGTCAAAAGAGATGTGGTGTTGGGTCTCAAGCCTGGACCTCAGAAAGGGTGAGGGAAAAGGGCTGAAAGAGCCCAGGAATGGGGAAGAGGAAGAGGAGGAGGGAAGATGTGTGTGCCTGGGGACTTTCAGACCTGACGGCACCTTGGTATGGCGCTTGAACACATGTGCTCATATGTCTGGCTACTCTGGATGGCTATTTTCAGTACAGTAGCTTTGCTTTGCTCCCAGAAAATAATTCTCAGGCTTTCTTTTTCTTTCTTCCTTCTTCCCTTTCAAAGGCCACTGTCTTCCAGCAGGACTAGAGTAGACGGTCCGTCAGGCGATACCATATGTAAGAGCTCAAGAAGACAAGGGCAGCAGCCGCCTCCTCCCCACTAAAGCTCACTGGCTCCCAGTCATCCTGGCAGAGTTGGAGGAGTGGAATGGGAATGCTAGAGACACATGATGGCACCATTGTGTCACCAGTGAAAACACGGAAGCATAAAGTGCAATTTTTTTTTTGGTCTGTATTTTTTTTTTCATTATGACAAATATAGAGAAAAGAGAATTCCTTGTTTTAAGCGGCAGTTCGGTTGCATTAACTACTGTGTTACACAGTGTTCTACAACCATGTCCAAAATGTTTCATCTTCCTAAACTGAAACTCTGTACCCATCAAACCTTGACTTCCTAAGTTCCTCTCCCCCCAGCTCTGGAAACCACCATTCTAATTTCTGTTCATGTGAACTTTCCTATTCTAGACGATCATGTCATGGTCACTGTTATTTCACAAAACAAAACCTTAAAGTTTATTCATACAAGCTTTGCGCAGTGGCAGTATCATAGCCAATGAGGTTTATCCGAGGCGCGATTATTGCTAATTGAAAAAAAAAAGTTTATTCATACAATAGCATATGTCAGAATTTCCTTTTTAAATCAAATAGCACTTTTATGGCTACACTAAATGTCATGTATTCATTCATCTATTAATGAGCATTTTCCCCTCTCGGCTATAAGGAAGAATGCTATTTTAAGTGTGAGTGTATAACTTCTTTGAAACCCTGCTTTTGAATGTTTAGGATATACAAAAAAAGAGGACTCTATGGGCTGTTTGGCAGTTCTGTTTGGTAATGCTTTGAGAAACTGCCAACCTGGTCTGCACAGTGGCTGCACCGTTTTCTTTTTCTCACAACAGTGCAGAAGGGTTTGGGTTTCTCTGCATCATCACCAATACTCTTAGCTTCGGGGTTTATTATCATCTTAATGGGTGTGGGATGAAACCTCACCATAGTTTCGATTTGCGTTTTCCTAATGACTAATGAAACTGAGCATATCTTCATGTGTTTCTTGACTTGTTTTAGACTGATTATCATTCCATTTGTATAGCATTCTGTTTCTGCTCTTTAGCTGATTATGTTAAAAATCTCAAGAATGCTGGGTCCTGCAGATTACCAAAGCAATCATCCAGTAGAGTAAAATGTCCACAGAGGTGCCAAATATATTCAAATCTGTTCATCAATAGTTATAGGGAAAATATTCATTATAAGACCTTGAGCTGCCTTTGCTGAGACGGTAACAATGAGCTAATTACAGGCTCCTTGTTATCAACTACAGAAACAAACGTTTCAACCACGGTACACGTTTCAAATTACTATACTGTAATGTGGAGTATAATAAGTGAAAGAGCCATGAGAAAGGAATATGAGGGTGCCAGGTAAAGAAAATCTTACAGCAGGTTGAGGAGGCTGAAGGGGAAGCAGCCTGGCATGGTGAGCGGCTGGTGAGTCCTGGGGTAGTACATCAGAGTGGGATTACAGTTCAGTGCGGGACTTTGGCCAAGGGTGGGACTGCTATAAGGCTTAGTATCATCGTCCCCTTCTCTGGGTTCACAGGCGATGTTCTTCACGGAAAAGTCTCCCTCCCTCCTCTTTCTCCCTTTCCTTTATTTGTTCTGAACCTGGTTGGTGCTTCTGTCTGAGTGATATTCAGAAGCATAGCCAATATCAACTGCCAAGGGATGTTAGCTGGAGGAAATGGGAAGACAGGAAGGAGAACAGACACAGAGACAAGTAGGATGGAGAGAGTGAGAAGAGACGATGAGAAGATGAGTTAGGGAACATAGAAGCTCTGACGGCCCTCTGAGGTACAGCTTTCTTTCCGAGGTTTGCTCTCACTGTGTCTCTTCTGTGTTGTGGAATATTAGTTTAAGATGTGTTGCGTTTGTTTATACTGTAGAATATTTGCATTCTTTTATGTTGCATTTGTTTAACTCTGTGAAGCTGTGTTACTTTGCCTGTCTAAAACACCTGATGGTCTAATAAAGAGCTGAACGCCCAATAGCAAGGCAGGAGAAAGGATAGGTGGGGCTGGCAGGCAGAGCGAATATATAGAAAGGAGAGAAGAAGATGGGGAATGAAAGGAGGAGAGGAGGACTCCAGGGGCCAGCCACCCAGCTACACAGCAAACCATGGAGCAAGAAGGAAAAAAGGTGTATAGAAAGGTAAAAGCTCAGAGGCAAAAGATAGGTGGGATAATTTAAGAAAAAGCTGGCTAGAAATAAGCCAAGCTAGGGCCACGCATTCATAAGAAAGAATAAGCCTCCATGTATTTATTTGGGAGCTGGGTGGTGGGCCCCCAAAGAGTAAAGAGCAAAGAGCCAACGAGTTCAAAAAAACTAACTAGACTTTTGGGCTTGGACTTCCCATCTCTCAGAGCTATGAAAAGTAGTTCTGGCCTTCTAGTTTCTAGTCTCCACCCTCTCCAATCCATTCTGCATGCTCCCTCAAGTCTGTCTGTCTGTCTTTCTTCAGTCTTGGGTATTAAATCCAAGACCTAATGCTCCCACTGAAATAGATTCCCAGTGCCTAGAACCTTTAAAAAAACTGTTTATATACCTTTCCTGTTCAAAAATAATGATTTCCTGTGGCTAGCTTGATGATGTACAAGATTAGTACCTGGGCATCCTTGACCATCTCCACTCTGGCTCTGACCCTGCATCAGCTCATCTCCCTGTGCAAAGCTTGTATTTCAAGCAATTTACTCACAGGGGTGGGGGCATACCCCTTAACTTCTGCCTAGTTCCTTGACTGGATCGTAAATGCCCTTCCTAGACTGTCAATGCCTCTCCTTAGGGAAAATACTTGACCCATATCGTCTCTGTAATTC